CCAACCTCTCTTCTCTGGGGACGGTTGGCTCGGCTGAGATGGGATTGTGAGCATGTCCTCCCAACCTCTCCTCTCTGGGGATGGTTGGCTTGGCTGGGATGGGATTATGAGCCTATTCTTCCAACTTTTCTTCTCTAGAGAAGTCTGGTTCAACTCTGACATCCAATGGAACATTATTTGGGTATGTTAGGGGAGTTTTTCCCCTGTCAACCCTAGTAGTGGTACTTGGCAGAGTGCTGTCTACATATGAAGGCCCTGCAAAATTTGCTTGAAATTTGGATTGTGATAATTCTGGCAGTGTCTGGGTGGGTTGCAGAGTAACCCTTGATAACGCCTGAGATAGCATATTTTGTATAAGGTTTTGTTGCTCACGCAACATTTGTTGTTCACGCAACATGTTTTGCATAGCCAGATTATGCTGATTGTTCAATTGTTGAACATAAGACACCCAATCGGTAGGTGGTTGGGGAATCTCCCCTGGATTTGGCATGACAGGTGGTGAAATATTTTCTCCCACCGGTGCTGATGATGATTGAGGTTGTGAGCCTGCCATACTGATTTTTCTGATAATTCAGCCGGACCTCAGTCGTATGAAATTCTCTGTTGATGTAGGATCAGCAATCTTGCCTTTCTCCCACTGTGGTCGCCAAATTGTTGATGTATTTTTTCAACAATAAAAAAGTAAAATCCAAAAATAGGAAAATATCTTCAAATTTGATATAATTAGTGCCTGATATTAGGGATCTCTAAACATTGTAGAATACATAAATAAAATGGGAAAATAAAAAACTAAAGACTGAAAAATAAAGTGGTGATCCCCAAAAGCAATTCTCTTGAATTTGATGTCGATTGAAGATGCCTTTTTTCGAACAGCACCGGATCCTTAAATAACCCCTTAAAGAAGCGGTTTGAACCACCATTTGGTCGGTTACAGCAACTTCTGTCAACCGTCCACCAAGTTCTCCTCTGTTGACATGTGTTGCAACTTCCTTCAACCGTTCGCCGGTTGCAACTTTCTCCAACCGCCCCAGAACTGCCTCTCACGACTTGAACCGTCCCAGAAATGCCTTTCGTCCGACCTGCATATCCACTGCCATGTCCCTTCTTGCCCGACTTTGTTTCGCCCGACCTATGTGCCACCCGACCAATCCAGAGACTAACTGGTCGCTAGACCAAACGATTCCTTGGCCGCCCCATCAAGCGACCACTATCTGGTCTCTTGTCCGAGCACGTATCGTCCGTCTCATTCTTCTTCGCCCGACCTCACTTGGTCCGAACTCCGCATCAACCGACCTCCATATCAGCCAACCTCCGTGTCGTCCGACTCAACCAATTGCGGACCGCCCGACCTGCTCAACCGACTTTGGACCATCCGACCTATTTAACCGACTGAGAACCAACCAACCGTAGATCAACCGACGGTGAAACAACATCCTTTGGTCGCCTTATCTCCTTAGTGGACGGCTGGTCCAACCGACTTCCTTTTGACTCTGCTACCATACCGTCTTACCTTGGCCCATCCGTAGGCCAACCAACCAACTTACTTTGGTCGGACTGCAGACCCACCGACCAACTTCCTTTGGTCAGACTGCAAACCAACTGACCTGCTTATCCGACTGCGTACCATCTGATCTCCTTCTTTGCCCGACTTCCTCTTTCGACCGACCGCCGTATCAGCCGTCCTTCTTCGCCCGACTTCCTTTTTCGACCGACCTCAGTATCAGCCGTCCTTCCCGCCCGACTTCCTCTTTCGACCGACCGCCGTATCAGCCGTCCTCCGTCCGACCTCATTTGGTCCGACCGCGAGACAACCAACTACGGACCATCCGAACGCACCAACCGACCGGTTCTGTTTGTCTTATCACCTTAGATGGACAACTGGTTCAACAGACTATCATCTTGACACTTCTTTGCCCGACCTTCGTCTTGACAGACCTCCGCGTCTGCCGATACTTTTTCTCTGCCCGACCTTCGTATCGGCCGATCATCCTTCCTTGTCCGACTTTTTTTTGCCCGACTTATGGGCCGTTTGGCTTATATCCAGACACATCCAAAATCCTACTGCCATTATTTATTATTATTTTTTTTTGTGCTCAACAATTATTATTATTATTATATTATTAAAATGACTTAAATGTTCCTACTATTAAAAAAGACTTATATGTCCTTAATATACAACATTTAAAAAAACATAAAATAAAAAATAAAAATTCCTCACCGTTTGATACTTCCGCCAAGCAGAATCATTCGCACTGGTAGCCTTTTTGCATTAGATTTCTGCTTGAACTACTTCGTGATTTTTCTCCTATCAATAGAGTATTCTCTACACTTGAAATCTAAATTATTGGTAAGTCTTTATACTATTTATAGGGTTAATGTGTTTTAATAGCATGTTGATTTTCTTTTCTTTATTTTTTATTTTACTGTAATATAAAGATGTTAGGTGAAGGATGAAAGGAAAGAATTCCATCACAAGTGATATTCGTGTTAGAAAATGCAAAAATTGTGGTAGAACCGGACATAACCGTTGAACTTGCAAGAAAACTCTTTTGTAGATTCTAATTGAAAAGCTTCCTTTTGTTTATAATTAGATGTACTTTGGTATTATTTATAAATCATAACATGCCAGAACTTCAATCTTTGTTGGTAATGTGTAAGGAAGTTCATTCTTTAGTTTACGGAGAATGAAGAACGTGTGTAATCTAAACTATTATATTTAATGTTAAAAAGTACCTATTTTTACCTATATGCATTGATTAATCGATTGTACCTATACGCATATACACCGTCAAAAGTCACTGTTTTCAGCAGAAGTAGGGTATGTTTCCGCGAGCTCACAAGAACACACTTTTTTTCCGCTACAAATATATAATCTTTTTAAAAAATCTTGTCTCTAGTGGAAACATAGTGTGTTTCCGTGAGCTCGCAGAAACACTGATGATGCATATATTGTTCTATAATTATATAGATAAATTATAAAATATAATTAATATTATGGATAGATTTTTACTCATTTTTGCATGTTATTGATTGGTGCAAAGAAATGGAGTAATTTACACTTATGCCGTATTTTCGATCAAAGAATTTTGGAAAGACTTGATGTAAGCTTGCATGTCAAGGAAAGTGATGGATTACGGGGATTGAGACATAATTGTAGGCATGATGGTTAAGATTGAGTGATTAAAGGCGCGATTCAATAAACGATCATCTATAAAAAAAAAAAAGAAAAGAAAAAAAAAAAGAAAAAAGGGCCCAAGGCACGGGATGTGAGATCACAACTTACACCCACATTTCATAACTTGAAGACTTGAGTGAGACATTAGAAGAGAATTAGCCACTGGGAGATCATACTTATCTTCATCTTATTGTTTTCTTTTATTTTGAGCATGAGCAACTAGTTTTCTTTATTCTAGTCCAAGGTTGAATTTAGATTTCGGATTTGGATTTGTGAGATTATGTTTTGGTTTAAATTGCATCTTTTTTATGAAATTGGTATTTGTGCAATTTTTGTTATTCATAACCACAATTGTTTTATTTAATCTTTTATCGCGGCCAGATTTTAGTTTGGTTTAACAATTGTGTGCCAATTGAACATTTGCATCCGTAATTGTGCACTTGTTTGATAAATTGGTAAATAGGTTGACAAGTTTAGCCTAGGAATTGCATGATCAAATAATTTAATCTTTTCGTAATTGATTGAATGTTTGAATTGGGTTTTTCTCAAGCTATTTTCAATTGAGAAAATTAATTTATGGCCATACCTAGATTATTATTTTGATTAGGGATGCGGTTAATCAGTCGTACCATTGCTACCAATAAAGTAAGAAAAAATTGGGCGTTATGATCGTATCTAATGCCTATAACCAATTTATCAAGTGAATAACAAGTTTATTTAAAATTAATGATCGAATCTTTAATACGGTTTCTTATTCACTCATTGGGCTAGAAGTTTAATCTCTTTGAAATCTAATTTTTATCGTTTATTTAATTATCTTATAGTGAATTGCTAATCTATCACTTCCTCAATATTTGAAATTGTGACAAAACAGGAATTAAACTTCAGTCCTTGTGGATTGACCTCAGCACCACTTTCTACGTGAAAATTGTGGTGTTAGAGTATTTTTATTAGAAGCACCGAGACTACCAATTTTTTGCGCCGTTTCCGGGGACTTACGTTTGATTTATTTTGTATTTTTGTCATTCAATTATATTTTATTATTATATATTATATATTTCAATAGTTTATGCCCCACTTTTCTCGCACAGGAAATTTAATATACGAGCGGAAATCGAGAGATTAGCCAGACATTGCGGAATGAAGCAAAAAGAAAGTTGAATTTTGAAAAGGCTTCGAGTTCGCAACCAAGCGAATCGATCAAGCAAGAGCCCGATATGGCGGAAGAAGATACCCGCACGCTCAGGGATTTGACTGCGCCTAATTTGAATTTACAACCTCCATGCATTACTTTTCCGGAAATTGAAGGTAACGTTAGTTTCGAATTACGATCCAGACTAATACACTTTTTGCCCTTGTTTAATGGTCTTGCAGGAGAGGAACCATATAAACATCTGTAGGAATTCGATGTGGTTTGCTCGAGCATAAAACCACCAACAGTTACCGAAGAACAAGTAAAGCTACGGGCATTCCCTTCCTCATTGAAGGATGCGGCGAATGAATGGCTCTTTTGTCTACCGGTGGGAAGCATCACTACTTTGAGGGACATGAAAAAGAAATTTTGGGAGAAGTATTCCGCGGCATCGTGGGCGGCAACATTGCGCAAGGAAATTTGCGGAATCCAGCAACAACAAGGAGAGACGTTGCATGAATACCTGGAGAGGTTCAACAGGCTTTGTGCGCGGTGCCCACAACATCAGATTGCTGACCAACTATTGCTTCAATACTTTTACGAAGGACTGGGCATGCGAGACCGGAACAACATTGATGCCGCTAGCTAAGGAGCATTGGCAGATAAAACACAGAAAGCCGCATGGGAGTTGATTGCGAGGATGGTAGAGAATTTGCAGCAGTTCGGAACTAGAGGAGTCGAATATTCATAAGGTAACGATTCTCTTCGTCAACAAATTTTTGAACATACAAAAGTTGTTCATCAATTGGCTGCAGGAAATGCACGCCATGTGAGAGCGTGTGGCATTTGTACAAGCCCGGAGCATGCCACCGATGCATGCCCTGCCTTGCACGAGGGAAGTCATGCCGATGTGAATGTAGCTGGTTTTGGTCCACCAAGGCAACTGCAATATGACCCCTATTCAAACATCTACAACATAGGGTGGAAGGATCATCCAAATCTTAGGTATAAGAATCCGCAACATCAAGGGTTCCGACCACAAGCACCTCCGCAATAATTCTTCTAGCCATCACCTCCACCAAACCAATCTATTATGGCACTAGAGGAAATAATGAAGATCATGGCTTCCCACACCATTCAATTTCAACAAGATACGAGAGCGAGCATTCAAAGCCTTGAAACCCGCATGGAGCAAATGGCGGCGGATATTTTCCATGTCAAAGAAAGAGAGACGGGAAAATGGCCATCACAATTGGAAAGGAACCCAAAGAATGTTAGTGCCATGACTTTACAAACCGGAAAGATGGTGGGGGCTCCGGAACCAATCATCCCGAAGGACAAAGACGAGAACACCATAGAAAAAGTAATCGAGAAGGAAGATGCGAAGAAAAATAAGGTAATTGATAAAACTGTCACTAAATGGAATACTAATCTTGCCCATTTTCCGTCCAGGTTGGCAAAGCCGAAAAAGATGAAAAGGTAGGATGAGATTTTGGAGATTTTTTGAAAGTTCGAGCTTAATATACACCTATTGGATGCAATCCACCAAATTCCAAAGTACACAAAGTTCTTAAAGGAGTTGTGTACCAACAAGCGGAAGTTGAAGGGCGACGAATGCATCATTGTAAGCGATAATGTCTTGGCACTACTCCAAAAAAATATTCCAACAAAGTGCGGAGACCCAGGTATATTCATTATCCCATGTAAAATAGGAAAATTAGAAGTCAAGCGTGCTATGTTAGATTTAGGTAAGGCAATTAATGTCATGCCGAAATCAATCTATAATTATTTGAATCTTGCACCACTAAAGAAAACTGAGATTATTATTCAACTTGCTAATATGACGCATGCATATCCTGAAGGAATTATAGAGGATGTCCTTGACCAAGTTAATGATTTGATTTTCCCGGTCGACTTCTATGTCTTAGAACTGCATGATGAAAATTCACCCAACCCATCGCCACTACTCTTAGGGAGACCTTTCATGTGTACGGCGGATACTAAGATTGATGTTAAGCATGGTATTTTGACGATGGAATTTGATGGGGAAAGAATTGAATTTAAAATTTTTGATGCGATTGAACATCCCCAGATTCTCACTCTGTTTTCTCGTTATATGTCATTAACTTTGAAGTGCAGGATGCTTTGGAGGTAAGAGGCAATGAGGCGCTAGAAGTGATTTTGCACAGGTATGCCCATGCTCCTTTATTCTTTCCCAAAACTAATACACGATTATTTCCTTCAATTGTGCATCCACGGGAGTTGGAAATTAAGCCATTTCTGAATCACTTGAAATATGCTCATTTGAGAGACGGTGAGATAGTAGTAATGACCATTTCATCTACAATGATGAAAGCCAAGATGAACAAGTTGAAGAGCGATGCAAAGTATTACATGTGGAGGGACCCGTTCAAAGATGGAGAAGAAGTTTTTTCAAATGGATCTTGAGGACCCTTCGTCCTTAATTCTTAATAAATAATGTCTAGCCAAAGACGTTAAATAAAGACGCTTTTGGGAGGCAATCCAATTTTGTTTTATTTCTTGTTTTCTCTTGTGTTTGGTGTGTTAATTTGTTTGTCTATGCTCTTTTTAGATGATAGTGATCTCAGCGTGTCCGAAACTATATTTTGAGTACATAAGAATGACATTTCAGCAGGTGGCGCGACTTTAGGCATGCCCATGCCAGAATTTCAACATGCCCAAACAGATGAATTTATCAAAGTTTTTGAAGATCTTGCGCACCACCCCCACCCGGTTCAGGGAAGTCCTACTATCCTTTGCTCTTTTTCTTTTTTTGAGATGCATTTACATTGAGGACAATGTGCATAATGGGTGTAGGGGGAAAATATTCATTGTTTACCTGATTGCATGACTGACTTGTGTACTAAAGACTTGTGTGTATTTCTTTTCAACATGACATGTTTTTATTAGATAAGTTGCCGATGAAGTAGACGATAAATATGCCGAGCATGACATGTTTTACCCTATGCAAGACTTGAGTCTATTAGAGCATTCATTTTAAATGCTATATATTTCTTCTTGTGTTTGATTGTTGTTCTAGGCTTGGTTTTCTATAACTTGCATAGCGATGCATGTCAAATTTAATTTCCTAAGAGTTTATGCGATTAATATGATAAGGGCATTAGGATGAACCATTTGGCCTAATATATTTCCTACCTAAAAAAATTAATCACTTAGTGAGCCTTTTTGAGCTTGAATACCCTATTTTATTGTTAAATGAACAGCATTTAACCCATGACCTTTCTTTATAAAGCCAAAATTTATTTGAACCTATAGTCAAAGGAAAATGTTTCGAGCTCATATTATTTTAAAATCTCCAAGGGAATGGAAACTTATGTCTATTTAATGTTGTTTATTGCTTATGAGAGAGAAGGAAAAAAAAGAAAATAAAAGAAATAAAGGATCGAGAAAAGCCAAAAAAAAACTAAAAAAAGAAACATGATACAAATTTTCATCGCATTATAGCGGGAATGGGCATTTTGGTGTTAACTTGTTGATTGAGTTGGGTGTAATACAGGTTATCTTGGTGGGCATTCTTCTTACGTAGTTTGCAAAAATAACCTTTTGAGTATGCATGTTAATGAAGGAATAAGTGAGGGATGATAAATTTTATGTATAATTGTCTACCTTGTGATACATGGAGACTGTATATTACAAAATGAGCTTGGAATATTTCCTTTTTGACTTATTTAGCTGAATAATATCCAATATCCTATCCCAACCTAAAGCTCCGTTACAACCTTATTTAAAGATCCTTTGATTTTTTGCATTAGATTTTGAAGAATTAAAAGATGTGATCAATATGCAAGCCTATGGGATAAACCATTTTTACGATGTGACACGAGTGACTTGTTAATCCATATATATTTGAGTATTAAGTGTATACACTTTATTCCTAATGAGGTTATGGTGCGCTCGGTATTCTTTGAGTTTTACTGAGGTAATGATAATGTGAATTTGTTTGTGGAGATTATGATTGCATCAAGTTCTTGCATGTGCTCGTTTGGTTTATGCTTGAGGGTAAGCATGGTTTGAGTGTGGGGGAATTGATGAGCCATATATTTTCCTATATTTATATAGATAAATTATAAAATATAATTAATGTTATGGATAGATTTCTACTCGTTTTGGCTTGTTACTGATTGGTGCAAAGGAATTGAGTAATTCATGCCCATGCCATGTTTTCGATCAAAGAATTTTGGAAAGGCTTGATCTAAGTTTGCATGTCAAGGAAAGTGATGGATTACGGGGATTGAGATGTAACTGTAAGCATGATAATTGAGATTGAGTGATTAAAGGCACGATTGAAGAACCGATCATCTATAAAAATGGGGTAAAGACATGGGATGAGAGATCACAACTTACACCCACATTTCATAGCTTGAAGAATTGGGCGAGGCATTAGAAAAGAATTAGCCACTGGGAGATCATCCTTATCTTCATCTTATTGCTTTCTTTTATTATGAGTAGCTAGTTTTCTTTATTTTAGTCCAAGATTGAATTTAGATTTCAGATTTGGATTTGTGAGATTATATTTTGATTTAAATTGTATCTTGTTTATGAAATTGGTATTTGTGCAATTTATGTTATTCATAACTACAATTTTTTTATTTAATCTTTTATCACGGCCGGATTTTAGATTGGTTTAGCAATTGTGTGCCAATTGAACATTGCATCCGTAATTGTGCACTTGTTTGATAAAGTGGTAAATAGGTTGACAAGCTTAGCCTAGGAATTGCATGATCAAATAATTTAATCTTTTCGTAATTGATTGAATATTTAAATTGGGTTTTTCTCGGGCTATTTTCAATTGAGGAAATTACTTTATGGTCGTACCTAGATTATTTCTTTGATTTGGGATGCGGTTAATCGGTCGTACCATTGCCGCCAATAAAGTAAGGAAAACTTGGGTGTTATGATCGTATCTAATGTCTATAACCAATTTATCAATTGAATAACAAGTTTATTTAAAATCGATAATCGAATCTTTAATACAGTTTCTTATTCACTCATTGGGCTAAAAGTTTAATCTCTTTAAAATGTAATTTTTATCGATTATTTTAGTTATCTTAGTGAATGGATAATCTATCCCCCTCAATATTTGAAATTTTGACAAAACATGAATTAAACTTCACAGTCCTTATGGATCGACCTCGGTACCACTTGCTACGCAAAAATTATTGTGTTAGAGTATTTTTATTGGAAGCACCGATTCTACCAAACACTCCTTATTTCTGTGAGAAACGGGTAATTTTTGTTAGAAAAATGTTTCTAGGTAGAACCAATTCATCAATGCATATACAATTGTGAACCAAAACGTATACAATGCATATAGAATTTTGAACCACATGTAGAATGCATATATAAGACCACACTGGGTAAAATTTTGAACCCTAGATCATCACTCTGAAATAACCACAAATTATTTTAAATACGAAAATAGAGGTAAAACTAAAATATAATAAAACTAAATCAACTTGATGTCCCAGCTCCATGTCTACCCGAAAATTGAGATGCATTCATCCTATCCACAATAGATCTGAGTATGTAGTTAGCGCTCAAATTTGTCTGCTCTATTGAACTGATCTCGCCATGCAGTCGTTCTAATCCTCGTCCGGTGTTAGTTTGCACTAAAGTTGTGCTATTACTTGTATATCTTGTGGTGGAGCACTCTCAGAATTTCTGCACACACGAGTTGTTAGTAGAGTAGGCACTTCCTCTTCATTTGGTTCTTCATCATTCATGAAAGTATCGACAAAGGGCGACATGGTTCTTCCATCTTGTAGTCCATATTACACTCTTGCAAAGAGAATCAACAACGACCATGGGCAGGGATGACAGCGAATGGGGCGATGACAGGTGAAGAAGTGGCGACGGTGGCGCGGGCTCGGGCGGACATAGCCAGTGGATAGAAAGAACATGGGACGATTGGAGTGGTGTGTTGATGGTTAAGTGTTTTAACTCATTATTTCACAAAATATTTTTTTAGCAAAAGAGTGTTACTCCCTCCGTCCCATGTGTAGAGGAAATATTCTTCCTTAATTCATTAGCTATAAAGATTACAGATACATATATACAAGTGATGAAGCGTAATTAACGGATCTAAATTATTTTACAATAATACTAAGTATCCTAGCTATATTTATCTTCACCCCCCCCCCCCCCCGCAAGCAAACCGTGGGATTTATGAGCATGCGAAGCTTGGACCTGAAGTACTCTAGTTGCGCACGAGCCAAGCTCTTTGTGAAGACATCGGCGAGTTGAAGATCAGAAGGCCGGAACTGAGTTTTAAGCTTGCCAGTTTCGATCAACTCCCGTATGAAATGACAGTCAATGTCTATGTGTTTGGCACGCTTGTGAGAAACAGGATTTTGAGACAAAAATAGTGCGCTCTTGTTATCACTTAGAAGCACAGACGGAGATTTGGGAAGAGAATGGAGATCGCGAAGAAGATTCGAAACCCAAACCATCTCCGAAGCAGCGCTTGCCATTGCTCGATATTCTGATTAATTCACAGCTGGAGCGAGAAACAGTAGGTTGTTTCTTCGCACTCCAAGAAACAAGATTTGAACCAATAAAAATAGAATAGCCATAAGTGGACCGTCGTGTGTCAATACACCTAGCCCAATCCGCATCAGAATAGCCAATCAAAGTATCATCACCAGGTGAGAACAAAAGACCATGGGATATGGTTCCTTTAATATATCGAAGAATGCGCTTGACTGCCTGAAAATGATCCACCGTGGGGTTTTGTTGGAACTGACTAACAGTATTAACAGAGTAGGCGATGTCTGGGCGAGTAATAGTTAAATACTGTAGCGCCCCAACAAGAGAGGGGTAAAGATGTTGATCAGAGAAGGGCTCACCAGCTGTAGTGAAAGAAGCGTCAGGCGCCAAAGGAGTAGCAACAGGCTTGGAGTCGAGCAATTCTGCTCGGATTAGAATGTCACGAGCATACTTGGACTGGCTGAGGAAGAGACCCGAGGATGGATATGTAACTTCAAGACCAAGAAAATAACCAAGCTTGCCAAGGTCCTTTATGGCGAATTCCTTGCGGATGCGATCAATAAGTAAGCGAATAGCAACATCATTATTACCCGTTAAAACAATGTCATCTACGTAGACAAGTAGATACATATAGGTGGTATCCTTCTTGAGCACGAAGAGG